GCCATGTAAGAAGAATAAAGACATTTATGAGGAACATAAATATGTAACTATTGCTGATCCCAAGAGCTCATGAACACAATGCGGCACCGCTTCTCTTCTTTTGATGAGTCTCTTACGCTCAGCATTTGAATTGTTGAATCATTTTCAGTGTCGTGATCGAGAATAAACAGTATCTCCATCTGTGTAAACAAAGCACATGTAAAGTAGCAGATGAATATGACAGCTGATTTAACCTTAGTCTGATCAGTAAGAGGGGGAAAAAGTGAAAAAGTGGCTGCACTGTGTGAAGGGCAGTCAGCTGTGTAAATGGAGCTTATTTGATGCTTGGTTTCACTCACGAGGGAGTATGCAGATTCCCATTTGGACGGGCCTGACTCCTGGCCGACGCAGCCAACCAAGACACCTCGCACCACACACCCCCATTATGAAGAGCCGTTTGCAGTCAGATCACGAACTCACAACAAAGAGGGAATGATGTGAAATAGAAGAGCCAGTTGTACAAAAAGTCATTGATGTGAACATTAGAATAGAAATTAGAGAACAGAAGGTGGTGTTACACTTGTTTTCCACAATCAGTACATAATAAGAACAAACTTACATATTCTGCTGTATTGTACAGGCGTGTGCTTTAATTAGATTTTATAGTTTCACATCATTACTGGCCACACGTCAGTTTATAAATTCACTAAATGAAGCCCTTATTTTGTCAAGCCAAACAGAGAATTCAAAATGGCAAATTTAACACAAAGCAACATTCAATAGTCAACATTCGCTGTGTCATGATAGAAGAAGAGTTTTTAGCAATAGATAGCAAGTATTTCTCCATCACTGTCTCTCAGAAATAATGTACATGTGCTGATATGAACAGACTCCTGGGGCTGTTCACACAACAAACCAAACCCAATTTCTGATTTATTTTGTGCAGTTTTTCACATGACTTTTTAAATGGGATCTGGACTGGGTCCTTTTTTACAGGTGACTCCTAAACTAATCCACATGTGGAAAACACCTTTCACTGGCATGTTCATCAAAGCGTCAGCACATTTCATAATAAAAATGAATATATCATATTTTGCTTTAATAGGACATTAGAAGAGTTGTGATTTCTATTAACATCAACATATATTTAAAAAAGATATATTTTTGCACTCTTCTGTACATTACTTTATATAATGAAATCAATTATTTTATTATTCACAGCAAAGGCTGATAAAAATAATTTATAAGATTAAAAAAAATCTAAATGTTGTGTTAGATTAAAAATGACAAGAATCACAATTTCAATCTGTTCACAACAGAATCACTTTGAAAAAGAAAATTCTGTTCACATTCAAAAAATAGGCAAAAGAGGAGCTGAAAATATCTGAATCAATGTGATAATTATACAACAGTTATATATATATATATATATGTCACATGATAAAAATTAGATTTGGGCCACATTCAACTTCAGTGTGAACATTTACACTGCAGTCCAAAAGAGACCATTTTTATTTTTATTTTTATTTTTGTCATTGAAGACTTTGAAACATTTAAAATGAAGAAGCATCAGAACAAAAAAAACCCCAAGAAAGACCATTTATTCTACACTATTTCTAGATAAGTGATAAGTAATCAGAAATTCAGATCTCAGATTATTGGACCCAATGACTATATCAAGCTTACAGTACATGCACAATAAAGTAAGACGTGGTCTATTGGCACTTTGTTTAGAAAATGGTTTTGTTGTTCTCTTTCATTGTCACTCTCGGCCATTGTGTCAGTTTCTAAGGCATTTTGTACATGCATATCAAACACAAAGAGTGGTATGTGTGCTTAAATGTGAGACAGAAATGAAAGCCAGAAAATGTCTTGCTGTGGCGTCTCTCTGGAGACAATAGGAGCCCTTGACCATCGTTACGACGGAAACAGCACTGAGAATGACACTTAGTATTAGCTTGAGTCAAATGTGATACATTATACCGTACATTGCTGTCTTCCACTGGCTCGTTGAAAAAAACATTCAATGGCTTGACTGTAAGTGAAAACAGCACAGCAATCAGAAATTACTGCAGATGGTTTGACCGAATTGAGATGTAGACCAAAGGTGTAATTGTTGCCCAGCGGGGGAGTCCGAAGCCACCGCTGAGATTTCTGTCACCTTGGTTCTACTTTTCGACAAAAGTGGAAACAGCATGTTACTGCGTCCTGTTTGCCCTAGAACAGGACCAACTGCACTTCCTGCAGGCACGACACACTGACGCACAGCATCATGATGATTGGGTGCAAGCCCCCATTACCCTTCTAGCAGGAGTACGAGGGAGGGAAGGAACGCTTATGTGTGTGTGTTGGTGTATCTGTGCCTGCTCGCAAAAAAATGAGCACTGTGCACCCATCCGTAGCGTACCTAATGGAAAAGCAAAGAGCATCATTACCTCAGTCGATCTCTGCTGCTGTGCCTCCCCCTCATCACCATTCTTTGAAAAATATGGACTGGATATGTCAAAATCCCTTTTCTGAAGGACACGCACCATTTAATGGACAGCTGATGGTGTGAGACATCCTCAGGTGCAAGCTTGATTATCCGCTCTGTGCTTTCAACTGCAAGCATTTTTGCGGCATTATTAACAGCATTATCTACAAACAGCATGCATATACTGCCTAATGTGTCATCTACAAGCTTCTGAATTCAAACTTGCTAATCACACATGATTCCAGTTACCAAAAGGCTGATAAAATTGCTTGTAATAGGACTGTCGAGAGTTTGCATTTTAGCTTGACTAGGTAATGAAATCATGGGACAACAAAAAAATGCTAAATTTTTTTTCAAACCAATGCACCTTCAGAACTTTCCTAACATTAATATCTTAAGAAATTCCCCTTTCTTATGTTGCAGTTTTATGATGCGTCACCATTTGGCCCCTCTTTGTACTTGTAGTTGCAATAAAAACCGTGAACCCGAGGATTCACAATCCTTACTTTGTCTGTTCCGGGGCTTTGGAAATACCTCCAATGCTTCTCTTGCTGTAAGCGAAAGCACAGATGAGAAGGGTTGATAACGGTATCAAAGTCATTATTCCTCCTGCTGCTCCACTGCTTTTCCCCTCCTCTTTATCCCGCTCACAAAGAAAGGCAGTCTTATAAGCAAGAAAACCCTAAATGCTCCTGGAGTCGATGACTGTTGTTTACACGTAGTCGTGCAGAATATAGACGGCCTTGGCATCTTGATTTCGGGCTCGGGATGGAGAGTGGTACTGCTTGTCATTCTCCAGGTTCAACCTGTCCGGCACCGACTTCTCTTGCCGACGATCGTCCGCTTGTAGCTTTTCCTGGTGTAGTTTCTCTCGATGCGACTGCTCTTGTTCTGGCGGTTCAGTCTGGCTCTGCTGTTCGCAGAGCTGCTGTTTTTGTTGGTCGCGGGTCGGCTGCTCCTGGCGCAGCTTCTGCTGCTTTGGCTTGTCGGGGTGGGACGAGCCCGAATCCAATGGACCGCCTCTTCTTCCAGGACACGATAAGCAAAAGATTACGCCTGCGGCTAAAAGGAATCCTGCCGACACAAATGCCACGTACACCGCTGCGCCTGGCTCGTACTTGCTGCTTTTAGGCACTTTGGAGTCCATAAACGTAGTGATGACCTCATTGGTGAACCAGGATGCAGGCACCAGACACAGGACCCCTGCTATGAGGAAGCAAGCCCCTGCGGAAATCGCCGTATGTCCCTTAGAGCGATAACTGCCACCCCAGCGAGTACATTTCAGCCCTAGGGCGGCCAGACAGAGTCCCATTGTCGCCATCATGCAGGAAAGCACCATAGTGGTGCGTGCAGTCTGGAGATAAGCCGGCAACGCCAGCACCGAGTACTTAAGCGAGCAGCTGAAGACTCCGGTGCTGTACCAGGTGCAGTCCATCCACAGTCCCTGCATCTGCGAGATGGCAGTCATGATATTGGAGCCCACATCTGCACTCACCTTCCAGTTGGGTAGCAGTGTGGCCACCGTGGCACTCACGACTCCCAGTACCGCCAGAATGAATGCAAACATTTGCATGGTGGAAGACGGCATCATCGGTCCCTGACTTTTCGTTCCCTTCCCCCTGCAGCCGTCCCTCTCACCTTGCAGTGGCCCTCGGTGCGCTGCGTTTCCCTATCAGCCCAGCGCAGGACCTGACAGCAGATAATTCCTCCGCACTGGCTCCGCAAGGCTGCGATAAAAACGGAATGAGAATTGAACTGAGTGAACAAGCGTGACGGTCTGACAGATGAGGCACGGTGTCTGATGACTGAAAGGGAAAGCCACAATTTTTTCCCACCCTATCCTCATTTGGGACGTTTATGTTTTAGTGCACCCTGAACCAGTCAGCATTTTGGGGGGAAGTGACTTTGAAGCGTTGTTGAAAGGCTAATTGTTTTTTAACTTCGCCGCTGCAGAAACACCCTTTGGCATGATGCTGTTACAAGAATGCATAAAAACGGCACATAACCGCTGTAAGGTAGAAATTTAGCCAATTATCTGGGCCTGTTTTGTCTGAGTTAATTGATTTTTTTTCCTTATCTGTGCAAACCATTTGACAGCTTGGAAATTAGAAAGGGAATGAAAATTACTCCTATTTTTTGTTGTCCTTCAAACTGTGATTAATCTCATGAATTGATCAAGACAAGTGCATTGTGAGAGTGCATTCTGTTTCATTCATCTCAGAACAAACAAAAACCTTTACTTACCCTTTCACTGGAGCACTATGGTGTGTCAAGCAGTTCTGGAGAGATTTCCTCTAGCTGCTGAAGAAAAGAGAAAGAAAAGATAATTGCTGTAAAAACAAGCAAAAACTACTGTAAAACTGCCTCGTTCTTTTTAAATAACATCTCCTTGGCAACCCAGCACAAGTCTGAAAGCTTTTCAGTGTCCTATAAAAGAACCCCCACTCCTTCCCATTGTGGGTGACTGGATGTGATCAGTAATCACTGTACCGCTGGACTCCTCACTTGAAGGTCATTCAGTCAGAGAACACAGAGTATAGGGAATGTCATGCAAGGTAAAATGCAAGGAGAGGTGATGAAGATAATACTTTTTTGCAGCATAAAAACACATTCTGCAACTGGAAATCAATTCTTATTACATGTGGCAGGCAATTATCTATGGCTGCACTATCATAAGGCCAGTAGAAATAGGTTACTGGTGTGATTCATTTTTGATAAGTAGCAAAGGAGGAAATTGCATACAGGGCTGCTACAAAGAAACGTTCTCTGTCACTATTTCTGCTGCTGTCAGAGAAAGCTGCTAAATGGACAAAGGCAGTTCTTTAAGTATAACCTACAATAAACATTTATGTTTAAATCATGTGTAATGCCGTGTTCACACGGCAGCAATTTTATCGCTGGAGGTCACCGCATTGTTATTTACTAGTAGGTGTTCATAGCGCTGGATTCTCTAGTGTTGCTGCACAACTGGCTTTTGAAGATCTGATAACAAATTAGATGTATTGCCTGTAAAATAAAAAGGAGACATTCTATTTTGACAATGCATCAATTTTATACTAACAACTACATCATAATGACATAATGCAGGGAAAGTGTATGCAAACTGCAGCAGTGCATAATAATTCATATCATGAACAAGATGAATAATTAAGAACTCACTCAGAACGCCCAATAATTTGATGTACCTTTTTAAGTATCATTTTGTTTTATGTCACTGTATGTGGACAGAGACAAATCATGTAAATGAATCTTGTCTACACTTCAGTAAAGTATCTCATATTAAATAAATCATAAAGTAGTCTATATGATTATGCTTTCTACTGTGTGTGTGTGTGTGTGTGTGTGTACCCTCAAAAACAATACAATTAATGTGTTCATGCTACCAATGTCAGTGAACTATTTATTTGTCTCATTCCTCACTTCTGAGCACAGCGCATACTGTACAAAGGGCACAGCATCAGAGTATTATAATGTTATACACTGAATTTTAAAATGTTTGCGTCATTGTGTCATTCAACAAACAAGCGGTCTTATAGTAAATGTGACACTGCAGAAATAAATCCTTGAAATTTCTCATACATACATTTTTTTTGATGGTTAGTTTAGAAATGTTTAGAGTCTGTATTGTGCGCAGAGTGAATGAGTCTCCTTCGCTGAGTCACAGGACTGAGCATGTGTACTAGCAGCATGTTTAGCCTCTAGCTGTTTGCAGAGCGTGGGAAGAGAACATGGAAATGTACTTTTCTCAGGGGGATGTTTTTCACTCACCACAACTCACGTGTTGCTGCGCATAAATGCTTCTTTTCTTTTTATGGTCATCATATAATCTGTAATTTAGATGCACTTATTAAAGCTTAAACTAAAGATTTAAACTCAATTTTCAAGCTAAAGAATCAGCTGTTGAAAAAGTTGATGGGGAAAAAATATAGATTATTGACTATAAAACATTTTATTATTTAGCAGTTACTAAACACCAAATGAAGGTAAAAATGACTTTGGTGAGTAAATAGAACAAATACTCACCAGTCAGATTGTAGTTTTATTAAGAGTTACAAGATTACATGTTTTAAAAAATGATTGTGATTTTAACAGTAAAAGACTGTAAAAATGCTACAGTAAAAACCTGTTAACTGGTTAACAGTAAGTTTCCATACTATATTCGGTGAATACAGTAAAATACTGTTAAAAATACGTTTTTTGGAAGTGAAAAAGAAAAAGTCATACGGTATTTTATTGTGTTTAGATTAAGTCTGTAAAACCTAAAATGTTGCTACCGTATTTTTTACGGTGAAGTTCTGGCAACCACAGCT